AAAAAAAAATTAAAAAAAAAAAAAATTTCTAAATAATAAAAAAAAAAAAAAAAAAAAAAAAACAATTTTTATTTTTTAAAAAAAAAAAAAAAAAAAAAAAATTCCCATCCTCACAATTTAAAAAATAAAAAGAGTAATAATGTAATTATGTTTCTGTTCATATGAGATGGAAGCCACCATCATATAAGAGCATAGAACATCATTTTCACAATGTTTTAAATTGGTAATCGTATGTCTGAAGAACACTATTTCAAAATAAGCAAAAACATTGCTAGAGAATATTTCAACAAACACTTTATGGGTGTTAGTATTTTGCATATGATTTCGTCACATACTGGAAATACCTAATGCTATAATATAGAAAGACTGCAATTGGTACTGGTCAGTAACTAAAAAATAATTAACGACAACAATTGAACATAAAGGAACCACAACCTAAAATCAGTGAAGCAGAATTGAAACATAGTTGTCAAAGTATGCTAGTGATCTCTCAGTGATAATAAAAGCATTTGAACAATATAATTACAGTATATAAATGACTACTTGATGGTAGAATCCTATCAAGTTTTAGTGTTGGTGGTCGTGGAGCAGTAATGTGTAATCCATATAAAATATAATCATAATAATCTTATTTTTGCATTTGGTTATTTTTTGTATAGGAACAGTTTCTTTTTACGCTAAATCTGGGACTAACTGTAACTTTCGTTGATTGTATGAGATAGGAGTTAAACCATAAACATAAGAAAAATGACCTGCTTTTAAAACCTTGGTTTTATGGGTAATTTTTTTGACTTAGTAAACTAAGCAAAAAATATCTACATTATTACCTACACAGTTTATGGGTGTTGGCATTTTGCATATGATTTCGTCACATTTGATATGCAAATGCCAAATGCTGCCTCAAGATCACAGTTGGTACGGGTCAATATAAAAGTATTGGCCATAATATAAATTTTAGACCATAATATTTAAGACTATTTACCAAACAACATAAAACATATACTTCCGTGTTGGTACGTACTTAAAAAGTGATTCCTTGAAATTTAGATATGGAAGTGATAATTCATTAAATTCCATGTAATTATCTACACATGCTACCCTATATTTATTTAAAATATTAACATTCTAAAGAATGTACATCCTTTTAACTTAAGGAAGTATAAATTTATATGGGCCTGAAGTGTTCTGTTTAGAAGTTTTGTATTTGTTTTCTATTTATTAAATAATTAAATGACATGCATACAATTTCAACATTTATGGAAAAAAAAGTTATATTATTATATTTATAAACAATAATGTTGTTTGTTGTGTATATAGCTATAATGGTTACTGATATTACATAATTTACTTTTTGCATTTTACTTTACCTTTTTGGGATAAATGCTAAATAAATTAGTAAATCAGGTCACACATTTTTTTATCTTTTATAAATGTTCATGCAATAATGTCTCAAGTGAAAAATGAAAGAATAGACTTTTCTTCCTTTTACACACATCCAACAGCAAGTACAAAAACTTGCCAAACGGGGGAAAAATTCTTTAGAAACTAATTCTGTAATTAGGTAGTGGAACTTGTTTTAGACATGGGGTGGGGAGGTAACCCTTGGAGTGACAGGATGTAAACCCAGAGCCCAGGGATTGAAAACAAGCATCTTTGACCACCAAGCTATTTCAACTGTATTTTTGGAAAGTCCCAACCCATCCAATTCCTCTTTCCTTCTTTAAAATATAATTTAAAACCTTTTAAGGTTTTTTAA